TGAAATGAAATGAAATGAAATGAAATGAAATGAAATGAAATGAAAAGAACTAAAATGAAATGCAATGAAATGAAATGAAATAAAATAAAATTAAATCAAATGAACAATAAAATAATAAAACAAACAAAAATAACACAAAATGGATTAAAATAAAATAAATGGAGTAGTACAAAAAATATATACAATATATTTGCATTAGCTGTAAAGTCGGGCCCTGAAAATNTGAAATGAAATGAAATGAAATGAAATGAAATGAAATGAAACGAAATGAAAAGAAAACCGGAACAAGGCGCCATCGCTATTGATGGAGGAAGTGATATGGAGGATCTATGAATTCCTCCGAATGCGAAGTCTAAAAGTGAAAGTACATAGCATCCATTGCGACACCTTCACCGTCAACGATGCTTATGCGTCAAGTTACACACTATACAATTGGCATTATGTCCGTTAAATCATAAACTCGCTGTTATTCTTTGCAAAATTTGCATTTTACCTTCTTCACTTCTTCTATTAGGTTTTGCTCCATAATTTTCTACATTTAGTTTTTCCATAAATATTAAAACTTTTCGCAAACTGGAAAAATTTACGTTCAAACCTGTAAAAAAAAACACTGAATAGTTGTCATTTGACGCAAACGCATAAGCAAAGTTGAGAGTTGAACTAATTTGTGCGGCATCGTCAGTGTCAGCTTTGTTCATGTAACTTACTTCATACAAATACACCGATTCAACTTTTTTGACAATTGCCGGTGACGGTGACGGTGACGCAATGGACGTAATGTACTTACACTTTAAGTCAACTGCAATTATTTCTCTATAGTTCTTTTGGAAGTCTCTGAGGTACTGTAACAGGATCGTTAGAGATTCATGTTTTATTCATTTTCAATCAAAATCCCATGCCTGTCACATAATATCCTCAAATTAAAATTCTTATTTCTTTAAGTTTAAAAAGCGGTCTTGAAGTAAGTTATATGGGCCTGCTTTTGAATATTTTTAAATATAGTCCGCACAGCCTGCGGTGGGCGAGATCCTTATGGCCATAAATGAATCGGAAGCGATCAAACTAAAGATACGCAAAGACGACTCACGCTACACTTGATTTATAAACCGGACACTGTCCAACATAAAATCCACTACCCTACCCTAAAAAATTAAACCACACAGCCTACTTACTCCAAACGCTCGTAAAGCACTTGGCCTCCTCATCCGATGTCACTAGATTAGTGCACTTTTCACCACCAATTTTATCGGCCTGCTTACGACAGCCAGCAAAGTTGTCACTTCGACAACGAATACAAGTGAAATTCTTCGCATCAACATTATTGCATCCATTGGCATTTGTGCAAATCGTACAGTTGATACCCTGCGCGCACGCCGTCTGCGCCGCATCGTCAAGATCATAGTAACAGCCACGTGTCACCGTACCAGTCGCATCGGTGCGCGTATAGCATTTACCCTCCTGCGAATATACCAATTGGTTTGTACAACTCGCAGCATTGCTGGCCGCTTGTCCCCAGGCGCATTGGGCATCCGTAGCGCTGGAGCATGTCACACACTGTAGCGTTTGATCCACATTGTAACTCCATCCGTTACAATCATTTGTGCTGCAAGTTTTACATAGCGCATCAGTGCTGTCAGCTGCGCATTTATTACTTTCAGACGCATCGGAGCTGCAGCCGCGCGTCACATGCGTCGCATCGCTGGCATACATATAACACTTGTCGTCGGCCGCATATAACAAGCAAGGCAGTGCCACAATGTTGCTGCTGGCGCTGGCACAGTTCGCATCCGACTCGGTGCATTGGGTGCAGTTGAGGCGATCCGCTGGAAATATGCCCACGTTGCAGAGGGCACCCGTGCACATTTTACATGTCTTCTCATTGGTGCAAGTTGTTTCCAACTCCGCTGTTATACAGCCTCGTTCGGTTCTGCTCTGCATCACACTAATCACGCATTTGGTATCGGCGCTGCTGCAGATCGCATTACTCAGTGTAGTCGCATTGGTTTGGGCACACTCGGCCGTAGTCGTTGAGTTGCAGGACTTGCAGAGATTGTGCTTGTTGCAATTCGAAGTTTCGCAACTAAGGCAACTGGGCTCGGTGCATGTATCCGTCGTTGCCAAACAACCGCGGGTAACAGATTGGTCATCTGGAAGGAAAAGAGATGTCATATTAATGTAATGTAACTGAAAATGATAAACAATGCTGTAGTCAAATATGAAGCCTAGATGACTCTGGAAAGAAAATGTATTGAAAATTTTTATATTAAACTTAAAGCGACCCATCTATCCTTGTAATTAATCTCACCATGGTCAAATATTTGTGCCCCTGGGAAACGTGAGGTACCCTTGCAGCAGTTGCCTTGGATCTCCGCAGAATTATTGGGAGCTTTAGTACCTCCGCTTTGTACTATTGGGTTTAAGAGTTCACTGCAGTCTGCTATGCCTATAGCGCAAGGCTGAGGGGAAGCGGCGTACGTACTTTACGCAGCCATGATATTAAAATCATGCTTGACGACTTAAGCGCCAGGGTGGACAAGAGGAGTATATTTTTGGTCCTACAGTCGGGACATTCAGCGTTCACAAGAAATCAATGACAACCAAGGAGGGCCGATTGACTTCGGCTCTGTTTTGAAATGTAGCCAGCAGTACCAGGGAGCAGCAGCGAAACATCCATAAAACCACTTAGGTAGCTCCTGATCAAAACCGAAAATAAAACGTTGGCATAGACAGAAGACGCATGTGCCGAAGAGCATGCATTAGGCAAAGCTGTAATCTTAACTTACAGTCGAGAACTTTCGAAACCGTCTCTCAATCCTGTTTTAGAAAGGAACTCCTCAGCGTACGGATATTAAATCGATTTGCGAATCTATCCCTCGATCGCTTCCCGACGCCGCGGAAGAAGTCGAGGGAAAGACGAAGGAAGATCAAGTGAAAAGATCTTTCGTCCCAGAGCCCAAAGGTAGACAACGAAAGCTAGCATGCCCGCAAACCCAATGAAAAGGCCAAATACAGAAGAACCTGTTGTTAAATCGGTGAACCCCATCAATCATTTTTCGTCCATGAACCAATGCCTTATAGTCGGATTGCTCCGCATCCTTCATCTCCGGGCAGGAAATGAGCCCAACTGTTCACCACAAATCTACTTCTGCTGCGCCTGCTAGAGACGACTTCATCCGTATGACACTTTGTTAAGGTGCAACACATGTAACGGATGGAGAAACCTAAGAATCTGCTCAGGCCCTAGGTCTCACAGAGAGTGGACCACAAACATTGTAGCCTCCTGTTGAACAAGCCAGACGGCACACCCGCCTACGCGGCTACCAACTTGCTTAATACGCGGGTCCGAACCAGCACCTAATGAGCCTGCACGTCTTGAGAAAGCTCCCAGGAAGTACTCCGAAAAATTACTACAGAAGAGGTTGTTCTGGCAAATGAGCATGACCACGTACGCCAGGTCGGTCTCCTCCTAAGAGACCTTAATTTGGAGAACCTCCAACTGATATACCAACACAAGCGGAAAAGGTGGGAGAAATATTTGAAGACCTGCAACTTCGGCTCTAATCCGGGTGAGTAAGCTCTAATCCGGCGAAACGTGATGACAGAGTGATAATCTAGGCGTGACCATTGTCGGATCCGAAGAAATGCGCGAGTTACTTTTTCCAGCAATTTAAACTGCATCCTGCGGTGGATAACAGTGCACAACTTCGTTTCACAGGCGGTGAAGTCCAGGTGCGCATCGGGAAAGTGAAGGCCTATAAAGCCATTGGCCCCAACCGGAATTCACATGCCGATGCTGAACAATTTGGTGCCGGCGGGAATAGCAAATCTCAGCAAGGTTCTCAATTTGACAATAGCCACTCGCATCACTCCCGATGTGTGGAAATCGGGGAGAATGGCCCCGTTGATGAATACGTGGAATCCAGCCAACATAGAGGAGGTATTATCGACCGATAACGCTCCTTTCCTCCGTCGTGAAAATACTTGAGGCCTTGCTACTCCCCCACCTGATCCCAGCGAATCAGCAGCTTGGCTTCCAACAACAAAAGTATTTACCGCCATAAACACTCGAATAGCTCGTGGCCTTAACCATAACCGCTCCTGGTAGAGAACAAAGCCGGTTGACACTGTCTTTCATTCCACGCAACGGTGATCGGCGAATTATATGAGCTGTCTGTCGGCAGTTGTCAGTAACCTTTCGTGATCACACAGGGTGGTGTTCTCTCCCCCTACTGATTAGCTTGATTAGAATTGATGACGCCTGCGTGAAAGTAACGGGCTAGATTTCCGAACTTTCTCGTTTCTTCACTGCAACGAGTCTAAATAACTCTATCCCCAAGGAAATCACTAGGCACACAAAACTTTCGTCTCTGGAGATATTTTCTGTCAGGAACTCTACATAAACTTCAAAATTTAGGCTTCCAGGTTACTGTAGGGTTTTCTGAGCAGGAGATAGCTTATGTGTTTCGTCAATATACTCCATATTTTATCATATTTCACTTTTAGGGGCTTTTTCTGATTTTTTTTTTTTACTTTTGGGAACCCTTCGTATTTTAGAAATCGGGATTTTTCATTTCTTTTCGGGATTTTCACCATATTTATCTAATCTAAAAAATACGCATCACATCTCTATACACATGATGAATTCAAAAAAAAAAACCGAAATAATGCCGAACAATTAAAAAAAATATGAAATACGATACAATTTTACTTTTTGAAATTGTTGGACATTCTTTCGGGTTTTTTTTTCGAATTATTAGGCATTAGACGTGTAGGGTGTTTTTTATATTCTTTTGGAATAATTTGGAACCCTATGTGTTTAAATCATCGAGATTTTACATATTTTCCCCAATTTTTCCGAATTTTTCGGAATGTTTCGTATTTNATTCTAAATATTTTTGCGACGTTGCTTTGACCAGGCCTTGAACCCAGGTGCTGCGGAGTGGAAGCACACCACAGTGGCCGCACATTTGGCAGAATTACAGGACATTTTTAAATACTATTTGTATCTGACCTATTTTGGCGTGGGCCGCAGATGGTCCGGAAAAGCTTCTTAGGCTCAAAATAGCGCCACAGTCGATGCCGATGGAGTTTTTGATAGTCCGAATAAATTTTTCCTTATGGGCTTTTGCGGATACTTTTTATATATCGGAATTGTTTTCAGGGGTTTCTTTCGTATTTCATTTTTTGAAATCGTTCAAAATTTTTTTGGGGGTTTTCGGAAATACTCCATATTTTATCATATTTCACTTTTAGGGGCTTTTTCTGATTTTTTTTTTTACTTTTGGGAACCCTTCGTATTTTAGAAATCGGGATTTTTCATTTCTTTTCGGGATTTTCACCATATTTATCTAATCTAAAAAATACGCATCACATCTCTATACACATGATGAATTCAAAAAAAAAAACCGAAATAATGCCGAACAATTAAAAAAAAATTAAATACGATACAATTTTACTTTTTGAAATTGTTGGACATTCTTTCGGGTTTTTTTTCGAATTATTAGGCATTAGACGTGTAGGGTGTTTTTTATATTCTTTTGGAATAATTTGGAACCCTATGTGTTTAAATCATCGAGATTTTACATATTTTCCCCAATTTTCTCCGAATTTTTCGAAATGTTTCGGATTTGTTTTTAATTTTTCCGAATTTTTTCTAGGTAAATATTTGGGTGTTGTATTTAAATTTTTCGAATTTTTCGAAAACTCCTCACAATCTTTTGGGGATTTCTCTGGACTATTTGATCAGAAAAATAAAAAGCAAAATTTAGCTATTAGTTTCTACTAAAAAAAGACAAAAAAAAACAACAAGAATTTGCCAAACTTTGCTTTATTTGTGAAGTGCATTCATTAGGTGTGCGGTTGTACTTACATACATACATAAGTGCCAAACAAGTCANTCCGAATTTTTCGGAATGTTTCGTATTTTTTTTTAATTTTTCCGAATTTTTTCTAGGTAAATATTTGGGTGTTGTATTTAAATTTTTCGAATTTTTCGAAAACTCCTCACAATCTTTTCGGGATTTCTCTGGACTATTTGATCAGAAAAATAAAAAGCAAAATTTAGCTATTAGTTTCTACTAAAAAAAGACAAAAAAAAAACAACAAGAATTTGCTAAACTTTGCTTTATTTGTGAAGTGCATTCATTAGTTGTGCGGTTGTACTTACACACATACATAAGTGCCAAACAAGTCAAAAACTTTTGCCGGTGAGTCCTAAANCTCCGAATTTTTCGAAATGTTTCGGATTTGTTTTTAATTTTTCCGAATTTTTTCTAGGTAAATATTTGGGTGTTGTATTTAAATTTTTCGAATTTTTCGAAAACTCCTCACAATCTTTTGGGGATTTCTCTGGACTATTTGATCAGAAAAATAAAAAGCAAAATTTAGCTATTAGTTTCTACTAAAAAAAGACAAAAAAAAACAACAAGAATTTGCCAAACTTTGCTTTATTTGTGAAGTGCATTCATTAGGTGTGCGGTTGTACTTACATACATACATAAGTGCCAAACAAGTCAAAAACTTTTGCCGGTGAGTCCTAAAAGCGCACTTGGAATGCACTATCTGTAATTTATAGCTAAATGATAAAATGAATTTACTGATAGTTAATGTCGAATGCATGTTCCTAATACCTGTATGTACATTCATTGCAATTTACAACGCTATATTTTTTCTATATTATGTACTTTCAAACTTTGCCTATCAGCGAACCGCTAAGCAAATAACTGTTAACAGGTGTAACAGGTAAAAATTTCGCCCAAACTGATAACAAAACACATACATATGCATGTACATACATACATATGTACATACATACGATTACAAATTTACAAAAGATAATTTAGATTATCTGCTACAAATATTTCGCACCTTTTTTTTATACCAAGAATGAGTAATTCGTTGATCGAATTGCAATCGAGATAAGTAAAAATTGTTAATAAAGTCCATTATAACTACACTTGTATGTATGTAAGTGCGAAGCTTTACGGAAAATTACAAATGAAGGTCATGAAGGTTCGAGTACCCCGTATGGTAGAGAAATAAATAAGTAAAATACATANTACTTTCAAACTATCAGCGAACGCCTAAGCAAATAACTGTTAACAGGTGTAACAGGTAAAAATTTCGCCCAAACTGATAACAAAACACATACATATGCATGTACGTACATATGTACATACATACGATTACAAATTTACAAAAGATAATTTAGATTATCTGCTACAAATATTTCGCACCTTTTTTTTATACCAATAATGAGTAATTCGTTGATCGAATTGCAATCGAGATAAGTAAAAATTGTTAATAAAGTCCATTATAACTACACTTGTATGTACATAAGTGCGAAGCTTTAGGGAAAATTACAAATGAAGGTCATGAAGGTTCGAGTACCCCGTATGGTAG